TGGACAAGCTAGTAGCTCAGGGGGGAATTGGATACCCAGAGAAGCGGAATGACAGGGAAATCAATTTGAAGACGCTTTCACTCTTCAAGTACGACTGCGAGGACAGCAACTGAAGTTGAGCAGAGGTACGAGTATCAATTTGTTTTCATTTTTTATTTTTTTTCAAGTATCAAAACTCTGAGAAGGTAGAAAAGGAAAATGACAACGGAGATAAAAACACAAATTTTAAGACAAATGTACACATTCATGATTCAGTCCAGTTGCAGATCAAAAGGTTGAAAAGAAGTTCCATGAGTAGGCAAACTACAATGATAAGCGAACAATTGAGAGCTCAGGCCAAAAACCTCGCAACAATTACTGTATGTATGATCAAAAGCCATGAGAGTTGGCACGCCATACACAGACTTCTGAGCGATTACCCATCACTCTAAAAGAAGTACAAAGCAGAACTGGACAGAATCATCAAACTAATGATGGGTGACCAGATTCGCTTATATACATAGATCTGGTGTCAGGAGAGTCTCATTCGTGTCTCCAAAATCAAGCCAGACAAATGATCGATGTCTCTCACACACATAGAGATGGCCAAGATGGGGAATGGCAAGCTTCCGTGAGGTCACGAATGCAATTTGAAAGTGCAACCCCGAACAACTTAACACAGAGAGGAAACCATGTAGCCGGGCTGATTATCATCAGAGTAGTATCACTACACTCTTGAGGTTCCACCAAGTACCGGCTATGGAGTACAGTACCAGTACCAGTACCAGTGCCAGTGCCAGTGCCAGTGCGACTACCAGTACCGGTACTAGTACCAGTACCGGCACTAGTACCAGTACCGGTACCAGTACCAGTACCAGTACCAGTACTAGTACTAGTACTAGTACTCGTCCTAGTACTAGTACCAGAACCAGTACCAGTACCAGTACCAGTACTAATACTAGTACCAGTACCAGTACCAGTACCAGTACCAGTGGGCTATACTCTAGTCATTTTCGACCTTGGGAATTACTGAAAAGTACAACTGGTACCTGTGCCAGTGAATCTGCTCTCACGCGAATGCGCCCTAGCCAGTGACCGAGCGGTTTGGCGTCCTGAGAGACCTTTCAAGCAATGCATCTGCAGTGACTTGCTTTGTTAATGAGACGAAAAGAAAGCGACGAGCATCACCAATCACTTTGCGTCCACTTTCAGTTCTAGTTGGCCTAAGGCTTCTGGATAGATCCATGTCGAGGCTAGCAGTGGGCTCTGCTCTGGTCATTTGCTAGTCAGGCTGGGGAATTGCTGCAAAGTAGTGGTACCCGTGCCAGCAGGGACGAGTGCGCCATTCTCTACAAATGGTTCCAGTACCAGTACCAGTACCAGTACCAAAAGCAGTATCAGTAGCAGTTCCAGGACTAGTATCAGCACCAGTAGCAGTGGGCTCTGCTCTAGTCCCTAGGTGTGCCTACTATGGAGCCCAGAACCAAAAAGTGGTCCCCACTGAATCTTCTCCACTGCCCAAGAGTGCTGTCTCAGCAGTCCTTGATAAGTTTGAAATGAAATGAAAATGATGAATCTAAGGCTCGCTGACTCTGCTCCAGCGGTTTTCTGCTCCACAAAAGAATTTATCCCCTTCAGGAGTCTTAATAGTGTCGTACTAACCTGTCGAGCCAGTGCCCCCCCCACCCCCACCCCCACCCCCAGCCCCCCCCAAAAAAAAATCTCAGACTGACTCATTTTCTCTACTGACTCTAGTCCTAATTCAAAGTTCAATTTCAAACCCATTATATATGATGATTATAACCATGGCACAGATTTTTAAGACCACCACTCTGATCTGCTTAGATCTTCTGTCAGATGCACTTTGGAAGTTTCTGCACCTTTACCTTTCCATCGTGTGACCCTTGCCTGGAACTGTGAGTCCAGATTCATTGTTCAAGGGACGACGGAGTCCGACCCATTTTCCAGCAGGTGATGCTCCCCACCAATACTAGATGGAGCAAGCGGGGGCGCTGGTAGAGGGGGTAACCGTTGCTCTTATCACCCCACCAAGCAGTGGCCACAGGTTTTTCCAAAAAAAAAAAAAAAAAGGGAAAAAAAGTGACCTTGGAGCAGTAACTGGTACTTGTCTCCCTTAAAGGTTTGCAAGAGCAGAGCATTTTCCCAAGGCAACTCAGAGTCTTCTTTTTTTTTTTTTTTTTTTTTTCAGACAGTCACACGGATTTTTTCCGGCATATGGGTACGCCGGCCGGGTTAACTCATCACTCACGGAATAATGTATACTTAACCAGTTGCAGTCTTTTACAAAATGCAGCATTCATTGCAGGGGCTGCTGCATGTTTCCTGCCTCCCACACATTTCTCCCTTAGGCTGCCATTGTTACCTCCCCTCACTCGCTTCGCTCCCTCCCGACTCACCGTCCATGTGGCGTCGCTGGCTTTTCACAGACAACAATATGGTTATGCCTCTGAGATGCAGTTATTAATGTCACAGTCTTCATCAGAATAGAACGCTTCGTCAGTATCGCTGCATTTGGTGCAACTTTCAGTCCAGATACAGCGATAACAACGAGGCTGGCAATAACTTGAAGAGGAAGCTCCCTTGCACCAGCAGCACCGATTTTTTCATACATCGAAGGTCCAGCGCGCATTTAATGTTCTGGGGATTTCATGTCAGACTTCTGGGGATCTTCCACTGCCTTCGCCCCCCTCGTGAATTTTCGTGAAGCCTACTCGCTCGCCATTGGCACGAATCCCCAGAAGTCTGATATGAAATTTACACCAGTGAGGTCGAAAGTCCTCGAGGACGAAACAGCGCACATTGGATATGTGAATTTCATATCAGACTTCAGGGGATCTTCCACTGCCCTCCCCCCCCCCCCCCCCCCCCCCCCCCCCCCCCCCCCCCCCCCCCCCCCCCCCCCCCCCCCCCCCCCCCCCCCCTGCCCAACTTTCCCCCCTATGCTTCCCCCTCATCATCATCAATCTCCCCGTGCAAACCTTTTTTTAACCCTACCGACCACGCTACCACTCAATGAATAGAGGATAGGATCGCTCCGCCCTCAATTTACATCGAAACTCATTTATTCCTCTATCCATTATTCTTTTTATTTTAGAATCCATTTGATCGTATTATTATAGTGAACCCGGGCAAGAGCCGTGGCCTTCGGCCTACACAGGGGCGTATGAAACAAACTCAATTTGTAGTAGAAGATCAAGTCCGGTCTGCCTTGAAAAAGGTAGCAAAACCAAATTTAGCGAATAACATGAACAAGCGAAATTCCTCGACAAAGGGGTATTTTCTTCAGCATCAAAGACAAAATCTGGCTAGAATTCTTGGAAATACTTAATCAACTATCTTTCTCGACATTTCTTTTTCAAAAATATTTTCTTTTTTCGAAAATACATAGGAATAATAACTCTCTCTCGTCATTTNCACTCATTCTGTGTACTTGATTCCCCTCTCGTACATTTTCGTAAAGCCTGCTCGCTCGCATTGGCGCAAATCCTCCCTCTCTGCACAGCTCTGGGAGGCTTGTGGAGTGGAGCCGGTATCCCCAAGACCTTTTTTTTTTTTTTATATAATTGCTCCGGTCTATTGGTGGGGAGCCGCACCTGCTGGAAACCGGGTATCCCCAAGACCTCGTCGAGGACAGGACCGCACGCATTTAATGTGTGAATTTCATGCCAGACTCCTGGGGATCATCCACTGCCTTCACACTCATTCTGTGTACTTGACACCCCTCTCGTAAATTTTTGTAAAGCCTACCCGCTCGCCGTTGGCGCAAATCCTTCTCTGCAGCTCTGGGAGGCTTGTGGAGTGCAGCTGGTATCCCCAAGACTCGCTACACCAGTGAGGGCGAAAGTCCTCGAGGACGAAACAGCAATGACGTTCGCGGGTGTGTACGAACAGCAGCGTGTCCAGAAAGAACACAAAGCTGTCCAGGCTGCTGGGCACCTCATGGTCCTTGACTTCGCCTATCGCGTCATAGTTTATTCTCATTTTACATGTTCCAGAAGCCGACTCAAAACGGAGAATGACTGGCGTGTTCGGGAAGTTGACTCTCATCCTGAAGTAGTATCTGCCGCCAAAGTTCTCGAGCGCAAGGAGATCCCTTTTCGTCGCGTCCAACAGCTCGAACTCGTTCAGGTTGAACCCAGGCTTGACTTTGACGTCGCTCATTCCCAACATCTTGATGGCCTCCTGCATGTCGGCCTCCGAGGCGAACCCGAGCGTTGCGAACTGGTCTTTCCAGTCCTGATGCTGGAAATTGGCAAAGGGCTTAACGGCCGCATATGTGAGCCACTGGCCATGCTTGCACAACACGCTGCAGTTGTAGAAAGGGTTCGCGTAGAGCGGTTTGCCTTGCAGCCGCCACTTGTACAGCTTTTGCTCGCAGAGGTCGGTCATCATGAGCTGCCAGAAGGCGAGCTCAATCCGCTTCCATATAGAACGCGGTGATGTTACGAGGTCCCACAACCCCCATACGACCCCCGGAATCGAAAAAACCACGGCCGGAACGACTGCCGCATATTTCCACTTGCGGTTGTCGAATATGAGGTCGAACAGAGTGACAAGGAGAAACACAAATGCTGCCAAAAGGTGGACATTCATCTTGTAGATGCGTACTAGTATGGCCTTGCCCCTAAGTTAATAGTTAGTTGTTGTCGTACCCCGTTCGAACCTGCGGCTGAAGGAAAGAGTCTAATTATAGTGAAACAGCCTGCCCGGGATTTCAGATGTAAGCACACAGGCTTACATGAGACATCGATGGATCATTGCCAAATGAGATCATGTCGACAGCCGAGAAAAAGTCGCTATCACAATTATATAGTTCTAGACTCTAGTAGATGGATCATTGCCAAATGAGATCATGTTGACAGCCGAGAAAAAGTCGCTATCACAATTATATAGTTCTAGACTCTAGTAGATGCCTTTGTCTAAGGGACCGATGTCCCATTCTAGTGTCCCATTCTGGCGCTTGAAACAGCAATTCTAGTGGACCTTCGCTTCTTGTGCATTCACGCCCAGAAGAGGAGGTCTGCACTTCTACTGGCACTGCCTGGTTCTTTTTGGTTTATCCTCAATAATTTTGAAAAGTAATAAGGACAACAGTTGTTCGCAAACAAGACTTGCAATTCAATCCGTTCGCTCGTCAATATCCAGCGGAGAGAATCGACAGCCAGACAGACAGATCGTCAATATAAGCAGTTGCGCGACACCGCAGGCTGCAGGCAGCTTCTTGCTGGCCCGGAACATCTCTTCGGCGCTGCTGCTGCTGCTGCTGGCTGCTCCTTGGTGCTTGCTGCTTGCTGCTTCTTGGTGATGGGATTTATGCAGACCATGCATTTACGGATTTCAAGCGATATTCGGATACTGAGAATATTACAGTGGTGAATTTACATTTGTACGTAGAGTTGCTCGAAGGAATTAATGAATAAAAATGAGTGCAAGTTATTCAACGAACAGGGCAAGATACAGAAGGCTTCGACCAGCAGCATCTGCACCTGAAAAACACACAAAAAGCAGTCGAAAAAAAAGGATGTGAAAGGTTCACTTAGAAGTTAGAACGTTACGTTGTTTAACACTCGATGCAGCAGGTTTTGCCTTGAGGACAGCATCATGATGGATGTCCTGCCCAGCTGGGTGGCCGGGCATGTGTGCGCAGAAAAAAAAAAAAAAAAAAAAAAAAAACAGTACATGACATTAAAGTTCATGTTTTTTTCACGAGGAGAAAGACATGCAGGGAACATGAATATGGACGAAGCACAGAAATCCAGATTGCAAAATCACACTGAAGTCCAAGTAGTCAAAGCAAGAGCAGATAGCACAATGGAACCGAGTAACCATCCATTTGAGAATGATACAGAAGAATCGTGAGTCAATGTCCAAGCCCAACAGCATAACCCAATGTAGCTCTCTCTCTTGAATGGCGCCAGGCGCCCTACCTACTCTACAGCCTATCACTACAACTACAGTATGAAAGCAACCAGACAACTTGACGACCAGCGAGTGATGATGTCAACACCAATGCCGACCTTCCACCTCCACCAGGTACGTCTCCTTCTTCACCCACACTCTCCCTTGTTATCCCACACAGCGCCCTTCACCTCCGAAGAACCACCTTCGCCCTCACCTCCCTTGCGCCCTCAGGCAGCCCGGCTATGGCCGCCAGCGCCCTGTGTACAGGCAGCGCCCTACCGCCTAGCGCCTGCCTGTCTCGCACCTCAGCCTAGCGCAGCGCAGCAGCGCAGCAGCTCGCATTTGCGCAGCGTGCCGGCATTGCCCGCAATGGCCAAGATCCCTGCCCACTCGCCCTGCTTGCCTATATGCCAGTGTTGCTTGTGGGTGGCCTCCCTTGAGCCTGTGTCTGGGCCCCAGTGCCTGTACCCAGGCCCGATGCAGTTGCGGGCCCAGGAGATGCAGTTGCGCCTCTTTCGTCAAGGCCTGCGGCCAGATTCAGATAGTGGACCGGTTTCCCTTTGGCATTTTCAGCCTCTATATCCAGCATGCATTGTCAGCCTCACGTTTATGTGCCCAGGGCCTAACCAACTCGGGGCCCTGGGATTTCTGCATTTGCAGAGCAGCTCCGATACTCAGTGCACACCAACCAACTGGCGTGCTGCAACTGTATGGACCCCACTTCGTGAATGTTTGCACAGAGGGCTCTTGTTGATTTGCTGACCCGCCTTCACTTAGGGCGGGCACTAGGCTTGCTGGGGCCTTAGCCCAGAACATGTACATCATGGCAAGGCCCCTTTCTGAGGGCTCAATCCTCACAGACACAAGCTGATACGCAAAAAACTCATAAACGGACAAATGAGGGCAAACAATAATTTCCAACAAAAAGAAATTGAGAATACAAAAAGCCTGAATCAGACAAACGTGTCCTTGGAGACATCTGTTGAATTGGAACAAATAATTATATAGAGAAGATTTGCATGGCCGCTATGCAAGGATGACGCATATTAATAGAGAAATTGCGTAAAAAACGAAAGAGACAACTGCGCCGGAGTGCGGTGTCCCTGTTTCGTATTCGCGGAAATAACAGGACACTGCAGGACCTGGTGCAGGTGGAAAGCAGTTACAAACTGCAAAAAAATCCAAAAATGATGGTTCCGGCGGCCTACTAGCTCAACAATTGCCAAAAATGGGAGGTATGGGTATACCGGAACGGATTGTTTTCCCATGGACTGGGGCGGAAGCCGATACCGGTATCGGCTCCAGTAGCTGCTGCCTTCTTTTTTTTTTTTTCTTTTTTTTTTTTTTTTTTTTTCGCGCACGTGGCCTAGACCTGTCTCTTATACACATCTAGATGTGTATAAGAGACAGATTTTTGTACTTACAATATGGATGTACATTGTTTGTTGATGCTTCGCTGATATGTGACATTCAACCTCACGCCCTATGCTGTCTTTTGGTAAGAGTCATAAATTATGTGGAGCAGGCCCTGAAAGAACAACAAAATGGGGTGTGCCTAGGATTTTTCGAGAATTGAGTGTGGGGACACAGACGAAACTGAAATCCCCCGTGTGGTTCCAGTTTAAGTGAGGAAGGGCCATAGCCGCGCGGGAAGGAAATAGCGCGCGTTGCTTTCAAAAGTTTGTACGTCCAAAAATTATCTTTGAACCTCGATGCGGGCGACGCGTCGTCTTTTCGACCGGAGAGGCGGGGGGTACACACGTGGGATCTCGTTTTCGGATTAAGTCTCGGTGCTGCTCCCTATAGAGTTCAGAATCTGACGTGGATGGCCTCAGCCTGGTCGCTCTTTCCTTGTGTCCGGTAGTGGAACCCTTTTCCCGATAACGCTCGGTGCGATGATAATCACTGCACGGAGTGTTAGGCCAGTGAAGCCCCACCACCCTCCACAAGGTAACAATTAACTCGTTGAAAGACAATAACAATGAGTACGGAGGGAAATGCGTATCGATAATGGCAAACCAACGCCTACGAATCCCGGACACTTTGTTTCGGGAGGAAAATACTAGCGCCCGCTAATCTTGGCGGCGGCTTCTCGTACGTCTCACTCACACACATGTGTCCTTCCCTCATTGTACGGGAATGGGCGTGGTGGGTACAGGGGAAGTCGACGCCCTGTCGGATCGGGGCAATCAGTCCATATGGCATAAGAGAGGTTGATTGCTAATGTCAAATCGATCGGTTATTCGATCAAAAAAACAAATACATACCACGATATGCATTATATTTCAACCATCATGCAAACAAATCCAAAGCATAAGTCCACGCAATTCAATCAATCGAGAGAACAACCATTCTTCATTTGCATGAATAGTTAAGCATGCATCGAAGTAATCACTTCATATTGCGGCTTTGTTCCCGTCATTGAGGCAACAACTCAATCGATACATGAGTGTGAGAGATCAGTCGTACAGTAGCCATCGATTACCGAGGAGCAGAGAGAGGGATGAAATATGATCGCCTGTTCTCGCTGATCTCTTCAGATTCAACAATATTCATCCTCGCGAGATCCGATTGAATCCAATGAGATGAGCATGACAGGACCTTGGGAGTAAATAGGGCCGAGGGAGTTATCAATCATTCACGAAAAAGGTGAGAGAGGGAGAGAGAAGGAAGATGGGGTCGAAGGAAGTAGACGGAGTCGTAACTTGACCACAGAAGGGGACAAAAACAAAGGAGTTATAGGCCCACAAATAGATTTGAGACCTAGAACCGGCAATCCGTCGTAAACTTATCTTCCAATATAAGAAGAGGAGGAACTAAAGATCAAAGGCGCGCAAGCCTGCTGCACTCTGATTATCGCCCCAAGCCATATAACCACTCGTTCACATGCACTTTCCTTATCTTGGTACTGGCAATCCCGACCACCACATACCAACCTCCACACCACAGTGATCGTCACCCTGCCAACTCATCTTCCAGACCGGTTCGCCCAGATCTCGCAGTCCGACGTGGCCACCCGGCGCACAACCTTGCAAAAATGCACTCACCTCATCAGGACTTTCCGACTCGCTATGCATGCACATCATCTAGCCACGACTTCCCAGAAGCTGGCAAATGGGTTGAGAGAGAGTTTTTTGGATGCGCTGCAGATTTTATTGTTGCGAAGAGGGAGATAAAAGATGAGAGGGAATGGGACGGAGGTAGGAAGGGGTGAGGAGAGGGTTCAATTTAGTCACCCGTGGAAAGCCATATCGATCCCCGGGAGTATCTTTGTAGCCAATCGGATTACAATGTGGGAGGAGTATCCTCCTTACACTATATCACTTGATGGCTCGAGTAACCTGGGGGGAGGATTGGTAGGGAGTTCCAGTACGGGGAGGAGGCAGGGAAGAAGGAAAGCGCAAAAAGTATTGTAATGCAGGGCCAAGATTCAGACGCGAAGGAGCGGGAGAGAAGCGTGTGGGGAGAGGGGAGGGAAAATAGTTACAAATGGAGAGAAGAAGGCGTGGAGAAGGTAGACGCGAGGATGGCATGGGGATAGCAGGAAGCGGAGGTCGGGGAGGGAAGCTTGCATGCATGGCGCCGACACAGAAACAAAAGGGCACCAAAACAGTTATGTTGCGCCCATTCTAGTTCTAATACTTATTCAAGACTCAGAAATTCAAAAACGATATCTGCGCGTGAGATCAAACGTGGGAAAATTTTACGCCTATTCAGATCTTACCAAAAATTCACGAAGTTTCATAGGCGAATTTGGGAGCATTTATTTGCAAGAAAGGGCACGCTAGCGGGAAGCATGGCCATAAGCCCAGGAATTCCCAACTGTCGTTCAAAATTTCTAGCGCACTCACTAAGGCGAGCGTAATTCCTACGAAAACTTTTGGATCACCGAAGAAAATCACGAAAAAAATTCTTAGAAAAAAAAAAGAACAACAAATGCTGAAAAAGTAGGAGGGCCTCATCGGCCATGCAAACAAAAAGGAAGGATACCCCTAAGGCCCCTTAACGATCGAAAAGTACAGATAACAAAAAGTAACAACAAATACTGAAAAAGTAGGAGGGCCTCATCTTCCACACAAATCCGTTGGTATGGCTGGTCGCGCGCTAAAGGACGGCGCTTCGTGGTGTTGGAGTTGGGATAACTCCTCGTGCTGCTTGGTTGGCGGCTCGTTTTCCTCCTCTGCTTCTTCTTCGTCGTTGTCATCTTCTTCGGACGTCGATTCGCCTTCTGCCTCCTTTTCTTCTTCTTGCTCTTGCAGGCCTGGGAGTGCTATTAGTTCCGGATTGTCATCAGACGACACCTCCCCGTTATCAAGATGGGATGTCCAAAAATCTTCTAGATCAAAGTTATCTAAGGAGACTTCGTCCAAATCTAGAAAGCTCCACTTGGCTGGGTTTCGCTGGGCAAAATAATGCCCAACGTCCTCTGTGCAGCTTGTCCAGATCACCGTTGATGTTAGCATCCGTTCCAATGTTACTGGCTCCGTCTGATTCGAATCGCTTGGAGTGAAGGAAATGATGCTCAGACTCTGAGGCCGATCGTCGACGATGATCTGATCCAGAAAGATGAGGATCTCGTTGGCAA